GTCGCTTGGATCAGCACTGATGGTGGTAGCACTCGCTACTCCCAGTCTGTTCAGGGCAGATTCACCATCTCCAGAGATGACAGTAAGAACCAGCTGTATTTACAGATGAACAGCCTGAAAGCTGAAGACACGGCTGTGTACTACTGTGCCAGAGACTCACAGTGATGGGGGCTGTGGGGAAGCCGTACAAATACTACTTCCTCACAGAGAATAAGGATGTCACATTATTATTTAATTTGTTATGTTTTATTATAATAATATTTAGAATCTTTTGCTCCTCTTTACCCTTAATTCTACCTCAAATTATCATGTATATATAGTAGATGTACAGTACAATTTTACTCACAACAAGGCCAAGGGTGAATCACTATATTCAACATACCTAGGATTACAGTATGTGTATAAATGTACACAGACAAAATTAAATAATTAATTTTATTCCTTAACTTTTATCCTCAGATCATTTAATATTTCTCCCTCGTTTTCAAAGCAAAATATTTACTGGTGTAATTCAGTTAAAAGGTAGGAGTACTGACTTTTAAAATATCTGAAGTAAAATCCTATTTTAAAATATATGCCTCATTTATAATTAAAGTGGAGTTAATGGTAATATGCCTGAAAACTTATCGCAATATTTAGTTTTACATTATTTATGAATGCAGTATTTTACAATGCAGTATTATCTATTGCAATTATTACAATATCAATAACTAATTATTGGCAGGTTAAATTATTAAACAAAGACAAATTCTCCCTGTACCGTGTCCCCAGCCCCCTGCAAGTAAGTAAGCGTTTGTAAGATGGATGTACCAGCAGTGTTCCTTATACTGAAGACTTTCCTCATTAGGGGGCACTAAAGTTCCATATGAAGGTCAGTGTGACCTGCTGTGTTTATAAAGAGGCTCCTACGATCCCCAGAGAGGTAAACAAATTCACCAACCTGCCCTTAATATAACTGAGCTTCCTGTAAATTCATAGATTTCACCTTAATCAGATTTTGTGTTACTGTACAATGGAGGCCCTTACAGTCCTAATAGTTGGTGTAACAGACTTGGTTAAGTATCAGGTGAGCAGGGAGATCAGAGGGAAAAGTAAGTATTTTATCCCCACTGGGCTTCTGTAGAAGGCAAAGTGTATAAAACTCATCTTGCATACCTTATGTATTAAGGCAGGTATCTGAGGCACATAACCTATCATGCTGTCTCCCCACAGGCGGCACTTAATTTGCACTGGAGCTCAGCTCCGGGACGTCTGGCTCTGGGTGGTCTGCGCTCAGGGTGGTCTGCGCTCCGCCATCTCTAATGCTGCACCTGGTGTAATTTAACTTAAAATTTATTATGTATTAAACTTTGGAATCAATACAAATTGAATAAAGAAATGCATATTTATGAAACGGTTTGGGTTGTATGATTTTTTTTTACATTCATCTGCCTTAATTAGTATTTTGTTTGACTGATTTGAAAGGGAAAAACCACACCATGCGCACACATAAAAAAACACTTTTTGGCCACTAAAATAGATGAGGCTACACGCTTGGTTGTTGCCACAAAATAATTTTAAGAAAATATCAAAAAGAATGAATAATATTTTGCATTTTTTCGGCAAAATGACAGAGCCACCAGAACGCAAGCGGAGCAGAAATGAACCTCAAAATCTGACAAGAGAACAATCAGAAACAGAGAGGAGCAGCGTTTGTGGAGGCTAATGCTAATGAGCAGGATCGCAGAGGAGTAAGAAAAGTGCAACGCAGATGAAAAGTTTGACATAACTCATAGGTGGCGACAGAATATATTTTGCATAGCTACATGTTTAATTAATTAATAGGGCATTATCGTTGTTAAAGACGAGTTGTGTGCATGACGCCATCATGGTCTTTATGAGCTCCGACGCCTCAGAGTTTATAAATTAAGCACTTCCTACTGGAACTGAAGTGCTTTAGATCTATTTTATGCAAACAGGAAATGCCACTGAACGAATTGGTGAGACTCATCACCCCCCCTCCTCCAACACAAATTTCATTGTGTTCCTCAAAACCTGAAATGTGAAAGCATACATACAATCATACAACCAACATACAGTAACATCCTATCAGGATTATGGTGGATGAGAAAGGGATGGTATTTTAATGGTCCCAGTGGGGAAATTAGGACATTAGAGCAGCTCAGACTGTGAAAGCAAAACAGTGACAGACACAGGAAAAGGGGCAGAATAAATAACAATATGGATAAGGATACAAATGATGCCTGTTCATCACAAGGCACAGACACACACAGTCACACTGCATGTGCAGTTAAGAGACACCTAACTGTGTGTCTTTAGGCTGTAGGAGGAAATCAGAGTATCCAGTGACAATGGATATGGGGAGACCATGCAGACTCCACACACACAGTCACACTGCATGTGCAGTTAAGAGACACCTAGCTGCGTGTCTTTAGGCTGTAGGAGGAAATCAGAGTATCCAGTGACAATGGATATGGGGAGACCATGCAGACTCCACACACACAGTCACACTGCATGTGCAGTTAAGAGACACCTAGCTGCGTGTCTTTAGGCTGTAGGAGGAAATCAGAGTATCCAGTGACAATGGAGATGGGGAGACCATGCAGACTCCACACACACAGTCACACTGCATGTGCAGTTAAGAGACACCTAGC